TCTGATGTTCATCATTTTTATGTTGAGTTTTGGACATTCTTCAAGGGTCCAGAAGTAAAAATTTACCTCTTCTTGTTGAAGTTTAAAAAAAACTTCTAATTTCTTACTCTGTTAGTTTGTTGTGGTTAAGATTTAGCAGGAAGTTAAATAATTACATGATAGTGCCACTTTTGTGGCAATACATCAGTGTTTTCCAGCAAAAAATGTAGATTTTAAGGTTAGATGAGATTTTTTTATTACGGTAAGAAAATGAGCAATTATTAGATAGTGAATTTTACCAATTATCTTTCAACAACTAAGAAGATGATGAGTATGTTGTTTAATGGTGCTTTAAATTATAAAAATATTTTCTAATATCAAATCTTTATATTCACAGGACAAATCTTAGTAATTTAAAGCATTGCTGGATTCTATTTGTTATGATATAATTTAGGATTCTTCCACTGATATTAATAAGTGACTTAGAGTTCAGAGCACTTTTTCTTTCTTCAACTGCCCTAGTTCTAGCTCAGGCTGCTTTAAGGGTCCCATGTTCCTTTCCCATATATCAACCATGGTGTTTTATGAAAATCTCTCCCCATCATTTTGTTTAATGAGCTGAGTGTGGTTTGTCTTACTGGGGTCCTCTTCTACTTTTTCTGGATTCCTACCCTTTCCACTCCCTTGGTACATGCAAACAGACCAATTATGCTCAAAGCGAATTGGATAGGAATCCTGCCTGGGACTTTTGAGGTGAGCCCACAGTGGTTCTCACACCATTCCCTTTCTTCTGCTGAGAACCTTGTCCACAACCCTCATTTCTCAGCAACAACTATGTGTAACAGACTCATTTTCACTTCTTATCCACCCTGGGTTCAACTATATTTTGAGAAGAACTTGGTTTGGGGGTGTTATTGTCAAGTGAGACAAATAACTGTTTCTGGTTCAGTATATAAAAGGAAACCACAGAACTCAGCATTGCTATAGAGGCAAACTCTGATCTCACGGAGGACGCAGAACTTCTTATCTGGTGTGATCTGAAGGTCCTGAAATTCCCCTCTGATGAAACATGTACCTTCCACCCGCTGGCTTTGAGCTGTCATTCTTCTGAACAGATAGTTTTCATCAGAAAAGTGCTCGGGCACAAAGTAAACAACACCCAGAAAAACTGAGAAGATGGCCAATGAGTTTAATGCAGACCAAAGTAATTTGGCTGGAGAGTTAAACATAAAAGTCCTTAAGTATTGAGTGCCTCTGGAAGATTGCTCAGGTAAACTCTGTGGCCCATTACTCTTGACTAAGCAGAAAAGATTTACTAGCTTTTCAGGGCTAACCCTGCAAATTATGGGCTTGCTATCACTTATTCAATATCCAGACCTTGAATAACATTCCTAAAAATGGAAGGAATTCCATTCATATACTCACAAAAAGTACCTAGGCATAAATTTCACTGAGGAACTGAAAGACCCCTACAGTCAAAATTATAAAACACAAATGAAAAATTCAATAAGACATGATAATATGAACAATTGCCTCATGATAATAAAAAATTTAAGCAATAATAACAAAAGGATAAGATATTTTTCTGTTTACCTATTTGTAAATTTTCTTCTTTCTCCCACTTTAAAGATTTCTCATATGTATTTTTCCCTACCCAGAGTCCATTGCTGACCATACATGGTCAAAACATGTGCCCTACATTCTTAAAGGAGTTTTGGAGTCAGACTACCTTGAGCTCTAGTTTCTACCTAACCATAGACCAACTAAGTCCAGAGGCAAATTATTATAAAAAGGAATGGCCAAAGTATATTTTTAAATGATGTCAGAAAACCATTAAAGAATAAAGTATATGCATATGTCAGGTTGCTGCTGGGAAAAGTGAACTCTTAGACCAGACAGGAGAGAGCTACAGAGCAGTGCTGACTTTGAATTGGCCAAGATCTGTAAAGCCACTCACATCTTGTATTGGAAATTGCACCTGAGTGATGGCCACAAATTGTTGCTAGTCAGTTGGTGGTTCTTTTCTTAATATAGATAGAAATCAGGAATTGGCAAAGCGCAGCTTTGCTAGTTGTTCTCTTTAAGCACTAAGCTCCCTCAGCCCTGAGTGTTATATTCTAGGCCTTGAAGCAGCTAGTCAACAACATCTCTACCACAACAGTAATGTTTGGTGGTGCCAGTCTGCCTGATGTGGGTCACTGCCCCCGTCACTGTCAGCTGCTGCTGGTCAACGCTGGATACTGTCACTTGACTCTGTCATTTGCTGGTCTTTGTCACTGATCTTTGATGGCTGCTACCTTTGGAGCTCTTCAGAGTTCACAGTCACTGCTTTTTGTACCTTTTTTAAAAGCAATTACTCCTATACAGGATGACTCTTGAGTAGAGTTCACGCTACGTGAGTAAATATACAAGACCACTAGAACAAGAATTTATTTAAACAGAGCCTATGCTACATCACAGGGGGGTCAGTACACCAGAGCCAGCCTTCCTAAGCCAACCTGAAAAGCATGAGGGCAGAATTGCTCATACAGCTTATATCACAGCTGCGGGCCTGTGATTGGCCCAAATTAGAGCCTGTTGATTGGTTTAAATTGATCTAAACTCAAGCTTTCTGATCCAAGCCTACTGATTGGTTCAAATTAAATTTTACTCCTTCATTCCAACTCAAGCCTGCTCTGGTCAGGGTAGACTTTTCCATGAGGATATGTGGAGTGTCCAAGATAGTTGCAGCTGTCATGGCAGCTGTACAGTAAAACATCAAGAAACATGGCTGTTTCATTGACAGCTGCTGTGCCGCCTGAGAATGGTAGGGACAAAACCAGGAAATCTTCAGGAGGGCTGGTTGTGTTGACCAGAGCTTAGTGGAGTTTGAGTTGTTTGGTGTAGTAGTAATGGGTTCAGATGCCTCCCTGATCTTTGCCACTAACTAGGGTTGGTTACCCCATATGTCTTCAAAGTGGGAGAGGCAGTGTCTGAAGTGATGGGAAGGGGGACCTGCAGCTATTGCTGAGCTGGTAGAGTGGCCTGGAGCTTGGCCCCAAAGTAACCCAGGAAGAAAAGGCCCCAGTCTATCCTCAGGGGACAAACAGGTAAGTGAAGTGGAGGTGCGTGACTGCTATTGAGGCACACCACACCCGCCTCTGGCTGTCATAGTAAAAAGAGAAGAGGGAGATGGTTCTTTTCTTTCTTACAGTGGCCAACCACCTTTCCACCGAAGGCCAAGCACGGGCAGCATGCTGATGTGAGGCCCATTGTTAGGGAAGCTTCTCTGCACCAGTCGTCTTTCTTCTCATGTGACTTGTGTAATTTCCTTTGTCCTCAGCTTCTCCTTCCTTTTCCATGTCAACTCAGACAAGCTGAGTGCCTCTGGAGGACTCATTCAGAATGGTCTGAATTTACATTTTCCTGAATTGCAATCTTTACATTCCAAGCAAAATTCTCCTAATCTTACAATTTCTGAGCTTGAGCTGATCAGCACCTTGAAATATATATCAACTCTCTTAATATATAATGGTAAGACAATTCCAACTAAATACCAGTAGGGCACTTTTTCAGAAGTTAGTCAAATGCTTTTAACTTTCACATAGAAAAATAAATGCCTAAGAGTAACAAAGGAGATATAAGCATGTAGACTGCAGAGGAAATTTGTTCACCATAACACAGTCAAAACTAATGCCATTGTATCAATATTTTACTTGTCTAGGAGTAGAAAAGAAGAAGATATGAGCAGAATTTAAAATGCTGATGTGTCCTAGGAAATGCGAGAATGGAATAAATGTTGCATGCTCTGTTCAGCGAGAGAGAAGTCCCTTATTTAATACATTCATTTAGCATCAACCCTATCTTCAGCATATACCAAGTGAGTGTCTGTTCTGCTTTGAGATACTTTCCTGCATCTTTCAGTAAAATGTATGATTATGCTTTCTAAGGAAGCTACATGTCTCAGGAACATGGGCTTTGGAAAGGGAGGCCACTATCCAATGGCAAAAGATGTCTCACCAGCACATAAGCCACCAGGTGGACCTAAGGCTGTGTCCTTCAGGTTCTGACGGTTCCCAACACCATCATCATCTTGAAATCTACTTCCCTCCTCTCCCAGGGACAGCAGCTAGAACCCTTCTGCCACACAAAATAGGAACAGAGAAGAGTAAGATGTTGGAAGGTTTTTCCCATTTCCTCCCACCACTTCCTGTCAGTGGGTCAAACTCCCCAGGAGAATTTTTAACCTGAAAGATATTGAGGTGCAACTGAGGCATGTCATCCTGCTCAGGCATTCAGAGAGGTCAAAGTCAGACTCAACATCCTACTCCCTTCTTGACCTTTCTAACATTGTTTCTTATAAACATTGTCCATAGGAGCAGCCTCCCAGGGAGACATCCATATGCCATAGTTCTCCCACAAATCAGGCAGGTGGCCCCACTGGAATTTAAGACATTCAGCTGCTACCTTTGTGGGCTCCCTTTCTTCCTTGTCTCCACTTAGTTCTCCATTCCCAGCTTGCTGGGAAGCCATTTACATATGCAGACTCTTACCTCATCCAGAAGGAAAAGTGCAGGGAAGTATGAGGCAGGCTGAGAGTAGCTTTACTTTCTAAAACTAGAACTCAGGACTAATGAAGGGTCTTGAGCACCAAGGAAAAAGGGGGGTGGGTGGGACATGTGTAGCCTTCCCAGTCTAAGTCTACCCTGGGGATGGTGCTGGTATCTTTTGTCCAACCCCAACTGGCACCTCTAGGGTCCTCCACATCCTATAGCCAGGGGTAAGGCCTACCATCTTGCCCAGGGATAACTTTCTGGATACCCAGTCACAACTTCAATCATCATTCTGACCTCTAGGAAGTTCCCAGGGGACTTATTAGTTATGGATCCAGAGAAAGGGCCACTGTCTCTGCCTGATTTTCTATTCATTCTTCTCCTTGGCCCAGTATCCATCCATCCCCATGTGTCAGAGCCACTGCAGTCACCAGTCTGCCCAGGGTTCTTTTGCTCATTTCAAGATAGAAATCACAAAGAGGCAAATGATACTGACCAAATGAGGCTTTATTCAGGGCTTATGCTCAAACACAAGTGAGACAGCACACAGGTAAGTGTTGCAGAGCGGCTCCCTGTGGAGGTCTTATACATAGTGTATACTCCAGCTTCTCTCTTGCACAGATATTTTTGGCATCTGTTGCACCTGACTCGTGAATTCTGCACATGTCCTGTCTTTGGGTCTCAGCACCCAAATTTAGCCTTGACACAGTGATCTTTTCAGGTACACTGGGTCTGCCTCAGCTCACAAAAAATGATGCTCATTACTGCCACCCCAGGAAGGCCATATCCAGTGAGAATCAGCCATTCTGCATATGCCATGGTTGCAGGGGAGTTTCCCCAGCATAGTAAAAGTGTGGTTGCAACCTAGTTATCTTCAAGGACATGACCTATTAAAACAGCACACATGGAGGAAGAAAATTCTGAGGGGAAGGGGTCTGGGTCTTCCTATTCTATCTCATTGCCATGTTCTACACACCACCCACAGCAAGTACCCTAACAGTCATCATGCCTTCCCGCTTTATGGGTGAGAATAAAGCCCAAGAGATATGAAGCCATAGGGTCAATGGCTCACAGAAACTTGCATCAACACTGACCCACTGACGGAAGCCCAGGCAGTTGCAGGTGTTACATGGACAGAGTGACAGGCTTGCCCTCAGGAAGCTTTGGCTCTATGTAAGCATAGACACAAACCCCAAGAACTGTAATGCCGGTGAGAAAGAAGGCCCCATATGAGGACAGTAAGCTGTTTGGTACAGCAGAAAGAGAGCCCAGTGCCCTGGAAGAAGCACTGAAGAGCTGGTAATGAAGAGCAGGCACCTGGGTTGAGGGCCCCACCCATCTGCCACACCTCCAAGACTTGGAGCCTGGGCAGTTCTCCAGGAGTATGGAGAAAGCCAGCAATGGGGGCTGGACATGGGGATGCAGGAGTTCACAAACATGGACTCAGATAGACAGCCTCCCCAGGAGGCGTTTGTAAATCTTCTCAGATCCCTTCTGGATTTAGGACAGGACTTCCAGCCAAGATCCTTGTTGAGCACCTCCCCAGAATCCTGCTCAGGTCATCTGTGTTCCCCAGGCTTCTTGGCACAGAACCTGCTGCTGGGAGTATGGGTAAGCTCCTGCGCTGTAGCAGCAACCTTCATTTTCCCACTGGATACATTCGATCTTATTCATGAGTTCCTGCAGCTGGGCCTCCTTCTCCACCCTGTTTGCCCTGTTGTTGAAGGCACAGTGGCGCCGCTCACACAGCACATCCAGCTTGGCAAGGCTCTGGTTGTCGGTCTCCCGCACGTATTTATCCAAGGGCTCGCCGGCCAGATCTTCCTTCCGGGTGAACACCAGGACAGTGTAAGCCAGGACCCCCACTCCAAAGATCTCCTGGAGACGCCTAACAGCCTGTTGATCCTCTTTTGTGAAGCGACCGAGCTGTGTCACCAGGAGCACAGCATGGAGCCCCGGGAAAGAGAAGGCTATGGCCTGGCAGAGTGCTTTAGCCGCCACTTCCTGCTGGACCTGAGAGGACAGAATATCTGGGGTGTCAATCACCTCAAGTTCCTTCCCACCCCACTCTCGCCTTTCTCTCTGGAAGGCCGTGGTCACTGGCTTGGCACTGAGCTTAGACTCAAATACTTCCCTGCCAAGGATAGTGTTTCCTGTTGCACTTTTCCCACTTCCTGTTTTCCCCACCAGAATGAGCCTCAGTCTCCTTGGAGTGAGTTCTTTTTCCATCAGACCTGGAAACACACACACAAAAAGAGGAAACTGGGGTTGGAAACCAATCTACTTAGTTTATGAGAAGCTGTGTCCCTGGGTGTGCTCCATCACCTTAGGGGCTCCATTACCCTGAGACTTGTCATGGGTTCACATTCTTAGTCTACGCCCTTGAAAGTGGGGCTCAACATTCTTACTCAGAGGAATATCAGAGCCATCACCAAGAGAGGAGATTTGGAGATGCCAAACAGACACTGGAAACCTAGTGCTAAGATTTTTAGATATGACTGGGGTTGGAGGGCAGGAGTCAAGATCCAGAGCACATAAAGAAGGGACAAGTCATAGGTGATTTCCAAATCTGGTCCCCACTGAAGATACTGATGGGTCCAGGTCACAGAACGCTAAGCCTCCCAAAGGGAGGTGGCACTTGTCTTCTCCTAACCTCCTTAGCACTGACCAGTTTTGCTGCTGCCCTCAGCTGGCTGACCTGCTTCCCAATTCTGAAAGAATGACATTGGCTCCCTCCGGTTTCTACAAGGGAGTGGGAAAGGCATTTGAGTGAACGGGTGGAGAATAAGAGGAAGTATGGATGATCAGATATCATTCCTGCTGGCCTAGTCAATACACATCAGGTGAAAGAGGGTAACTCCCATCAGAGCAGCTACAGCCAGGTTCTACCACCGGACTTTCAAGCCAAATATATCATCCGAGCTCTGACCTGGGTTACTGTAAGAAGAGGTAAAACTGTGTTTATCACATTGGAAATTTTTTTTATGTCTTAGATTAATATAACCTTTTCCCAATGGCCCAGGTCCTTAAGGTTCATAAAGTATAAAAATAACTCATATTAAATACATAACAAATCACAAATAATTTCCCGTAGATAGGAAAATGGGTGAGTTTCCAGCATGCCTAAATTATGTCTCCCACCCAGGGACTGCTGGCTTCCAACCTCGGTTGGTTTTAATCACACCCACAGCTATATAGCATGTCCTTCCCAAGGAGAAAAACCAAATGTCTGAAGACCTTTTCCTTTGGGACCTATATTTCTTACTTCCTTTTGCCCACCATACTCATCAAAGGTCTTTTTCCTTATTTTTGGCTGAGGTGGCCAAATCTCTGCAACAGGAGCCTTCAGCTTTGCATGTGTGGAGCATGTCCCTCCTGGACACCAACTGTCCACACTGCATTCTGTCCAGTGTACCTCTGCTGGGGAAGTAGTTTTACCTCCTGACAGCTCTTTTGTAGGGTTCTGAAGAGGCAGGCTTGGGGAAACCTCTGAAACCAGTACATATTCTTCTTTCTCCACCTAGAGAAAACGATAATGAATTTTACTGATTTTCCAAATGAGTTTTATGGTGTACTTTACCCTTTTCCTCTCTATTGTGAGAAGGAAGAATTTGCGCTGGATTAAAGTCAAGGGAGACCAAGTGAGGAGTGGGTTAGAGAGATCTATGACATTCTCTGCTAACTCTAGAGACCCTGTCCCCCTCCCACTGTGGTCTCCATCTTGAGTACAAACAATGTCTCGGGAAAAGGAACTGGGCTGGAACTGATGAATGAATAGAATTTGGGTGGACAGAGTTCGGGAGAGGAAGGGGAGGAGGAGCAGACAGAAAAGCTGGTATGTCCCTGAACATGTGTGTCCCATGGTGTGCTTGGAGGGCAGGAGTGGAAAACTGTGGGGGCGGCCACGCTGAGTCTTGGGGCCAGAAGGAGCCATCCAGGCTTGATCTTTGGAGAAGGCTGGGAGGTGAGGAGTGCAAGAGCCAGGTGTTGCTGCTGTGAATGAGACGACAGTCATGGGGCCTTTAGAGCCAGGCACCTCTGTGCTCAGTGGAGGCAGCCACCAGTTAGGATACTCACACTCCCTGGGCCTCGATGCCCCTTCAGGGTGAATGTTGGACCTGAACTGGAAGATGTCCTGAATCTTTTTCCATACAAGGTCCCAACATATTCGTAGAATTTTTAGAGTAACTCTTGGGTTTTTTGCACACTGGGGCCACATCATCACGCCTGCAGGGACTACCCACTTAATGGGAGGGAAGTGTGCCCTCGCTTCATGGACTAACACAGTTCTCTATTTCACCAGCCCACAGTGCTATATCTATTTGATTTTTTTTTTTTTTTCAGAATCAGGGAGAAAATTATCTAGCTCATGACTGCTTTTTCAAAATGTGTAGCCCTTCTTAGACAGATTACACAAATCCAGGTAAAGGCTCTAGGCTACCAAGAAGCCCAGTTCCAGGGGATCTTAACAGATATGGTTTTCTCATCACCACAGCATTGTTGGATGTTCCTTCTGCTCTGTTCACCTGACAAACCACTTTATCCTCCCCAAATCTCAGGAACTGGCCAGGCGGGGGCTGGGGTGCTGCAGGGGGGACTGTGGCTTCAGCCAGCTAGGTTGGTAATGAAGGAAGCCCAGGAAGATTTGTTGACTTCCGGACATCCTCACACAGACCCACTCAGCTATATGCTGGTAAGAACAAGTCTTCCAGCTGCACAGTGTGCTTCTGTGAATGGAGCAGAAGGGTCGGGTGGGGGTGTCCACTGCCTACTATGCCTGTGCATAGTGGGCTACAAACCTCCACCGTGCCCTGGAACAGCCCAGAATGGGTTTTCACCCTGCAAGCCCCTGTGCCCCACCCTTGGCCCCACCTGGAACAGCATGACACACACACTGGTCATACTTTGTAGTTCTTTTCTTTTCTTCCAACTCAGAGGATGGAGCTGACATTGTCACCTTTGCTATGCTGCCAAGGAGAAGGAACCAAAACTCACAGAATGGTGTTGCCAAACATTAAGCTCATAGCAGGGCACAAAATTCTCCTGACTCCCTAGTCCCAGCTCTTTCTATCACACCGCAACACACATGCACCACTCACACATACCTGTTGACACACTAATACACAGAAACATACAAACAACCATATATACTCACACTAACATAATGCACAACACATATGTCTACACAAACAGCACTCATGCAATACAAGCATATGTAAACACATGCACATACCCAACGTGATACACACACCATTCATACACATACATGTAAACATACATTCACATAAACACAGCACATACACAAGCATACACACAGGTGGACTTACCGACTGGGAGGACAGCAGGCAAGAGGAATGGCCACATTTTCTATCTTGCTGGGCCACACAATCCTGCAAGTTCCCTGTCTCGCCCTTTGGGGAGAACACATAGTAATCTCCTTGAGAAAGCAAACGGCAAAGCCAGTGGAAAGCTTCGGAGACGTACGAAATCATGGGGCCAAGGCCAAGGTTTGCTTGCCTTTTTCAGCAAAATGTGATCTGAGCTCAAGAACTGTTCTTGAAACAACAGAGTCCACTCTGAGACAGAAGCAGGAAGTAGGCAGAAACACAGGAAACCAGGCGCTTACGCTTGTAGCCTCAAGAGCAGAAAGAAATTAAATAGCAGTAGTAGGGTTATTTTTATCCTGCTCCTTGATAACTAGGCTAAGAGGCATAACAAGCACCAGGTAGCTCAGAAAAACTTATGCCTGGGACACAAACTACTGTCTTTCCTTTCTGAGCTTTGTCCTCTTCCCAGGGAATCCTACAGGTTCAATACTAGGCAAATATTCATTGTCTCTTTTTTTCCCCTAATCCATCCTTCTTTTAAATATTTTCTCTTAGAACAACGTCTGATACTCATTCTTTCTAAGGCATACATCAATGATAAGAATTTTAATCCTTGAATTGTCTGAAGATGCACATTCTAACAAAAGCAAAAGCAAAAGTATGTGTAAATTGTGTGATTACAGAGGACAGCGTAAGGAGGAGGGACAGTATTCAGGGACAGAGTAGGAAAACCTACTCAGGATTTGGGAAAAAACCTTAGGATTCTCAAAAAATACATTTTTGGGATCTTCTGCACAGCTCTGACCACCATAATGGAAAAGCAGCCTTTAAAAGAAAGAACTAGAAAGATTTCAGCAGAGGAGGATAATATAGTTACCATGTGATTTTAAGATGCTAAGACTCCCCCCTAAATTTTATTTGGTATGGTAAAGTGGTCCTCATTTTCTTTCGTTCAGATCTGAATGATCTCCAAGGAGCATTTCCTATTATAGTTACATAGTGTAGAAATCTAATATTTTAGTTTACATTGTTCTGTAAATGCTTTAACATGAGCAATTCTTAGAAGTCATGTGTTGATCTTTGCCATTCCTCCCATTGCCTAAGTAATGAAAATACTGTTGCTTCACTCACTGAAACAAACCACCTATCATCAATTTCAGGAGTTGCCATTTTCTACAAATTGATCTTGGAGTTGCCCAGACCTGCAGCAGAACAGGCCAGAGGTCAGCCCACTGTTTAGCCACAGAGAGATTCCCATGTAATTGGACCCAATCAGACTGATACAGAATGTAAATCTGACGTTAGATTTTTCTTTCAGCTTCACTTTTGGGGATTTCTTTGCCAAAGGAAGTTTCACAATTATTGCTTGTGACAGTCCCTGGTACTGCAAATGAGATGACTTTACTCCAGAGAGGGTTTACATATATTTTTATTAGGAACTGTAAGAGGGTGTTGGTGCTACTGAGCTGAGACCACATTAGCCCCATTCTCAGGCTTCATCAATGAGAAGGTCAAAATGTGTGCCCCAGAGAGGACAGCCAAAATCTTTGCCTGCTTTTGGGTCGACCAGCTTTTCCTAAAGTTAGCTCACAGTTACCATTTTAGTTTAAACTGTGTTTGTTGTTATTGCTACTACTTCTTGTGTTTTGCCCCTAAAATGTTATCCCTCGCTTCCTACAAGCCAAATAATGTTTTGTTGAGGAAGGACCTTTCTGTGCTAATTTCTTAAACAGGGCACATGTACACAGAATGTGGTTTGCAGTCTTTCTCATGTCTCACTTCTTAAACCACATGCCATGACCAGAATCCAGGTCCCTGCCCCCAATTTAGCTACAAGGAGACTAGTATTTAAGAACACAAGCCTAATGGTTGGTGCCACCCATACCCAAGCTAGGGCTTCCCATTACTCCCACCCAGAACAATGCTGAGCAATCAGCAGACTAATCCAATTATCACACACCCTTTATCCATATTTACATATGCTAGATCCAGTCATTCCAAAAACATCACTATGAGCATATGAGGCTTCAGGGGGAACATCTAGATACAAGCCATAACACTAAGCAACCCAGCAAATATCAAAGTGCCCTTGATTAGCCATGGACAGGCTCACTTATGAATATTTATAAAAATGATAAATATATATCAGCAAGCAGTTTGTTAGAAGAATAACCCTGAATTAGAAGAATAAACTGAATTAAGCAGTTTGTTAGAAGAATAACCCTGGATTCAAGGAGAGCTGAATATTAGGGTAGGTATAAATGAAACTCACAAGGGTAGAAATATATCCATAAAGCAAATATCTTGATCATCCAGTTAGATGCTGCTATGGTTTGCACATGGCTTAAAGGTGTCCCCAAGATTTCAGGCTACACAAGCCTAGTCCTTGTTATGATGGTGTTTGGAGGTGTGATAACATTAAGAATTGGGGCTTAATGGGAGGTCTATAGGTTATCGGGAGCATCTCCTCAGAGGGGATTCAGGTCATTCTTCTCAGACACTGAGACAGTTCTCCCAAGACTGATTTGTTCTAACGAGAGTGAGCACGCATGGCTCCTTCTTTGCCTTCCAGCTTCACTCCCTCTTGCACACACACCCCCACCATTGTTATGCCATCTTCTGTGAGGCCATCACAAGAGCCATGCCAATGCCAGTGTCATGATCTCAGGCCTCCAGAACTGAGTCACATAAATCTCTTTTCCATAAGTACAAAAACAGAAATATTTCATTATGATAACAGAAAATAGACCAGTACAGGTGCTGAAAAATTAATAAAATCTAATCACTATTTGATTGTTTTAAAATCTCCTAAGACTGTAAGATAGACAACTAAACCATTGTGTCTCAATTTCAAATCCATGACCAGATGGGACTTGGTCACTTCCAAGCTAATGTGTAGGTGAAGGAAAAACATGCATGTGTTGACTCCCAGCCCTGCAGTTTTCTGGAAAGTTACACTGCAACAATAAATACAAAGAAAATATATGTATACAAGTTGAAAGCTGGGGCTGGGGATTTAGCTCAGCAACACAGCGCCTGCCTGGCAAGCACAAGGTCATGAGTTCGGTTCCCGGTACCGGAAAAACAAACAAACAAAAAAAAAAAAACAAAAAAAAAATTGAAAACTGGATATAAAATTATCAGTATCTAGGATAATATGAATAGATATGGGAAAATAAAAAGAACAATTGATACGCTACTAGAAAAGAAAATTTACTCATGTGATAGGTAGAAATTAAATGAAACAAGTAGTTTACTAACATACAATGACAAATTAGCAATAACTCAATGCTTAAAACAACAACAAAAAGATGAATATCTACAGATAAACTTTTTTAAAATGTATAAGATCTATACAAAGGAAACTAAGAAACTTCTGAGGCTGTGAGAAAAAAAATCTCATAGAGTGTGTGAGGAAAAGCTTCAGAAAATGTAGCTGTGTAATACGCCTGAATGGAAAACACTGTATCACACGAAAAGCAAATTCTACCCAATGGTGCCTATGAATGTACTGCAATATCAGCATATTTCTAAGTCTATAGGGTTTTTTTTAAACTCAAGAATTTTGTTTTCGTGTAGAGGTTTAAAACACCTGCAAGTAAATGAGACCTTCATGAGAAAGAAGCAAGCATGCTACAAGCAGAGATCACTAATGAGCCCCTCAGCTCTAACACCAGGGCCTCGGGATGCCAAGCATGGAACCCTCATCCTAGGTGAGCCCTCAGCTCCCACCAACTCGGGGAGGAAGATTAGACAGCGCTTTCTGGGTATCACAGGGTCTTAGACAAAGATGTACAGGCATGAAAATTTTATCTAGGATTTCTCCTGGGACTAAAACCATGGGAAAGTGAAGAAATCAGGGGACACCACCTGGGATGAGTCATAGCAAAGCTCAGGGCGTCAGCTCACTAGGAGCTCAGGAGTGTGGATGGCCCAGTGCAGCTGTCCCTTACTGGGGACAGGGCAGGTCTTTCAACTTTTCCATTGCCCAGTCATGGGTGTGAGCTGACCAGGACATGGGGGGCGGTCTTGAATGAGGTGACTCTATTCAGTTGAAAGCAGTCATTCTGGGGTGGCTAAAGGTGGGGACAGGGCTCAGCTGAGAGCCACTGGCCATCAGCACTGCCATGGAAACTGAGTTTCATTCGGTGCTAAAAGAGAGGGGTGAGGAGCAAAGTGCAGATATTGCAATACACTCATAGGGGCCACTGGGAAGAATTTGCTGACTTCTTTGTGATATAGCATTTTCATCCATTGCTAAAAGGGTGGGAGAATATGGAATGTAAAATACTGAATAAAGTTTGGGCCATTTCAGAGCTGACTGTATCATACAGTGATGTGACTTCAGACGTCTCAGGAGCGCAAGAGGCACAGGGAGGAGGATGCTTCATTCAGACAGAGTCAAAGTGTCAACCACATTGCAGGAAAGCACTTTCTTGTCCTTCAACGTGAGACACTTCCAAGGTGGCTCCACTCAGTCTGGCTTCCATGCAGAGGCTGGGCAGGCTCAGGAGTTTTAGGGAGAGTTTTTCTTCAGACTAAAGCAGGAGCTTCTGGGGCTGGGGATTTAGCTCAGTGGCACAGCACCTGCCTGGCAAGCACGAGGTCATGAGTTCGATTCCTGGTACCGGGGGGAAAAAAAAAGCAGGAGCTTCCTTGGAGAGGGTGTGTCAGCTCATCCATTCTGCAGGAGTAGGTGAGCCTGTCTGGGACAAGAGGCCATGGAGCTGTGCAGGAGTGGAGGTGTAGAGGGCGGCAGGCGTGTGTGGGGTGCAGAGGTGCGGGAGGGCTGCTGAGAGTTTCCTGTTGTAGATTCCATTCACTGTCTAACAGGACAGGCCTTTACTTAGAGGCTCTTTTACCCAGCATCTGCATGATGCTGATGGCTGAAAACCTGTCACATTCCCTTACAAGGAAACTCCTGTCCTTGAGGTGGGGCTTTGGAGGTGGAATTCTAAATGCCTAGGTTCCTAGTCCGGTGATTGTGGTCGCTTTCTCCTTGGCTTCTGTAAATAGTGCCCTGACAAATAGACTGAGTATCTTTATATTCTTGTCAGTGTACCTCTGAGTACAGACTCAGAGAGTCACACAGAGTGCCGATACGCAAGTGTTGACCCGTACTGCTGGACTGCTTTGCTTCCCCATCAGCAGGGTTAGCTTCCCCCACACCTCAGCCAGGGAGTGCGCTCCTACTCGTGTGGAGTTTGCCAAACACATAGGGGACAAATGCGTTCTAAAATCTACCACTTTTCTAACGACCCTGCTTCCTTCCATTGGATAGTTGTACTGAAAAACCAGGGTCTG